AGCGCAATAGGACCTACGTTTACTTTAAAGAGCGACATACACTACGGATACGGTGAGCGACTATAATCGGCGGTCGTATTACCTCGAGCACCTTATAAAGCACCCCTCTAATAGGGAAACAGTGGGCCACTACATTCAAAAACCAAACTGAACCATTTGACGCATCCGGCACTTTTACTAGTGTAACCGGCTGAGGCGTAGCGATGGGGGGCAGGGGGTACATATGTCTCTGGGCGCCGACCTTAGGGGGCGCCAAAATGAGTTGTAAAAACAAATTAAAATGTCATTTTAGCTTCATTTTTGCATTATAAATAGTAAAGGGGGGGGGGTGAAAATTGAAAATTTGCCTCCGAAGGGGGCGCCTTCTTCTTCTTCTTCGTTCTTGATTATAAGTGTTGAAGGGGATCGAGAATTATCTGCTAGTGCGTTTTAAACTCGAGACTTTGTTCAAATATATCAATCATGAGCTTTTTTGCCGACTCGACCTCCAACACAATTAAGCGTTACGTGTCAACTGGTTATGCGCCATTGAGGCCATTGACTCCGGTTTCAGCCTGCTTTTCTTTTTGGATTTGCTTCCATAGCCTTTGTCCAACCAAGAACAAACTACAGCAGTTGTTTAATTTTGGAGTTGTCTCTCCTAGAAGAGTGGCTGTCCCCAGCTAACGAGCCTCATCTGCCCGGGGGTTCGAACTCGAGAGTTTTCGGTTTAGCAACCATGAGCTTTACCGACTCGACCACGCCGACCCCTAAGGGGGCGCCAAATTGAAAGTTTGTCCCCGGGCGCCGGGAAGGGTTGCTACGCCTCTGGTAACCGGTGGCTCCCGCGGCACACATGACACTTTACAGTTGCTGTGATGTTATACCTCACTATTACGGGAGATGATTAATGTAAATTAAAAACTTACACACAGCATACCCTGAGACGTCTGGGCGGTAATATGGGCAAACCCACGCCCTGACAACTATGTTTTAAATATATATCGTCTGTTTTGTTAAAATAAAAAAAACAACAACTCCATTTTAGAAAACAATGTCGCACATCTAAAAGTACACCATTTATATGCGTTAATAAAACCCTTATAAAATGCTGTGTCACTCTGTGTGTAGAACAGTGGTGTAGCAAGGGGGGTTTAGGGGGGTGTTATAACCCCTCCCATGGACCCCTACCCCTTTATATATCCTATATATATATATAAATAAATAAATATATATATATATATATATATATATATATATATATATATATATATATATATATATCTAATATATAAAGCTCAGTTCTGTATGTAATGCATTTGTATATCGTTGGAATTGTACGAATTTAAAAGTTAGAAAATTATCGTGCGCATTTGTCTAAATTTATGAGCTAAAAAATTACTATTGAAAGTGTTGGGAAATAATTTTCATTTTTCAAATTACAGTAATAATTGTCGGCATGTTCATTAAACACAAGTTTAAAAAAAAATATCATCTTTTACAAAAATTCTAATTATGTCTTTATTTAGTCCTATAGCACTTACTTCCCTTTGATAAATTAGGAAAAACACAATTACTTCCCTTTATAAAACCATTGCATTCCGTGAAAATAATTTACTTTTTAATTACTTTGTTTTGGTGTTGGGAAAAAAAAATAATTACATAATTAGCGGGGATTGATCAAGTGCAAATGTTGTAGGTATTTTACGGATAAGCTTGGAGTATTAAAATTGTTTATTAAATTGAAACAGGCGCGTTCGTTTAAGTGAGTGCAAAAGACTGTGAATAAGTTGGGGTACTATAGTCGTTCATTAAGCTAAAACAGGTGATTCCGCCCCGGGCGTTTATGTTCGCGTTAGTGTTTTCTTTGTGTTTAGGTGGGTTTGCGTTAGTGGTTGCGTTTTGATTTGGTTCGTTTTTGTTCTTTCTTTTTTCGTTTTTGTTTGTGTTTTTTTTTTTTTTGGGTTTGTATTTGTGTTTTTGGTTGGTTTTGCGTTTGAATTTGGTTTGTTTTCGTTTGCTTTTTCGTTGTTTTTTTTTTTTGTTGGTATTGGTGTTTGTGGTTGGGTTTGTTGTTAGGTTTTTGTTTTCGTTTGCTTTTTTGTTTGTTTTTTCTTTGTGTTTGAATTGGTGTTTGTGGTTGTGGTTGGGTTTGTTGTTAGGTTTTTGTTTTCGTTTGTATTTGTAATTGTGTTAGCGTTATGTTTGCGTTTTGTTGTTTTGGTTTTGGTTGGTTGTGGTTTGGGTGGGCAATGCTGGGTTTATGATGATTACTAAACACACAGGTAATGGTCTTTAACAGGAAGGTTTTTCACAGAAGCCAGAGCAGGGCCTGGCCGGGACGGCTAGTATATATATATATATATATATATATATATATATATATATATATATATATATATATATATATATATATATATATATATATGTATATGATTTTATACATAGGGAAAATGTTAGAATCCTTCCGATGACCATTTCCTGGCTACGCCACTGATGTAGAACTAGATCGCATCAACACGCGCGACGGATACTCTAGCGACTAAATAAATTCTTTAACACATTAGGTAGTTGACTAGATTATTGGGTAGCACATCATGAGACACAATTCAAAAAAATGACAGACTTGATTTATTCCTTTGGCCACAGAGGAGCAAAGGGCTGCAACCACGCCTTTATATCGGACTCGGTTTTGGGCAGCTCTGTTTATTGCCTCTTCTTTTACCGTACTCCTCCAGTATTTCTTTGGCCGGCCAAATCTCCCATGGGAAGAGGAACGTTGACCGGCCAATGAAAAAAAAAAAACAACTAAGGCCGATTTATTTATATTCAGATCCCCTTAACATAAATTTTCTTCGGAAAATTGATTCAACAAAATAACACAATTTAGCCATACACCTGCGAATGAGCCAAGCGTTATTGAAGATTTGGTAGGAAGAGCCAACTTACAAGGCACAATGAGGAAACACGCGAACATAAAGAGCAGCTTCATTACTCCTTGACTCCAGTCGTTCATTATTTGCTTGTTGTTTCTGTAAATAAGAAAACAAAACAATAAACTCTGAAACGTTACAAGTTGGATAGGGTTTATGAATGTATAACACACGAGATGTAGTGTGTCACTATATCTGCCATTCTCAATAAGTATAATCTTAATTAGTATAATCTTAATTAGTACAGTAGCAACTGGGCTTTCGCGAATAAATGTGAAAAATAAATTAGGTATATTATACCTAATACTGCTACTTTGGTATTTTGATTTTGTTACTGTTTAAATATGGGAAGGACAACTTAGCTGTACATGGTTAGCGGTACAGCGTTAGGCGCTTACCCGAAAGACTTGAGTTTGAATTCCGGTTAATGTCAATAGAACGTTCGGTTCGAAAGAAGGAATTTTACTTAACTATGGTTTCAATAACTGATATAGAGGAGAAGATCCCTTCCAACGCTAAAATTAAGAACGCAGAAGAAGAAGTAACTGTAAGGTGGATTTTAGAAAAAAAAATTTATTGTCCATTCTTTGAAAATTAAAAACTAGATTCTTTGGCTTTAACCTTTGAGATAAGTCTTATATCACCCATCTCTGGTGGTATCTGGCTTAAATTAGTGAAAGTAAAGGCATAAAGATCTCTCTCTTACGTCCTATGTGGGCATGTAGGCATACGTGTGTATAAAGTTTAAATTAATTTTTCAATTCGAAATGGGACAATATTTTTTGGCAACAAAAATAACAAGGTTTTGTACTGGATTGGTGAATAGATAACTCTTTAACACTTAGAAAAAAAATACATTTTTATGAAACAAATATTGTGTAACAGTAAAATAAGGGGCGGAGGGCTTTTCCCCAAGGTAAATGGAAAGAATTTACACCGGAACGGTGAGTAGATAAATTGTTTAACACTTAGAATAGAAACTATTATTGCATTAATGCGTTATGTACAATTTCACTAGCCAGTTTTGTTAGAAATGACGCGATTAGTTCTTTATACGATTCTTACGATTCTCTCAACTTCAACGTGAGAGATCAGATACTTTTACTTGATTGTGCTATATCTTGTCTGGATCCACTGTATTAAAGAAAAATAAATATCACATATTCCTGTGTCGCTATCTGATTAGTAAAACACCTTACTCTTTGGCCGAAATTTTAAGGGCGAAGAAAAATACAACAAGATTTTATATAGATCTATTAAAAATTACTTAATTTACCCATTTACTAGAAAATTAGTATAATGTACTGAAAAGATCATATTTTTTAAATTGCTTGTTTGATAGCAAGTACAATTACTGCAATTATTATATAGTTAAGGCCACTAGATCTACTAAACGAAGTAAAACTGGTACCACACGACCGACTGCTAATGTTGAGTTACATTGTGCATCCTATCTGACAGTTTTAAACTATAATATTCGAAATTCGAAATTATTCTAAAAAGAAACGACCCAAAGTGGGCCAAATAAGCTTGCACTTCTACATACTACACTCTAAAGCAGATGTTCTTATTCTTTTGTAAAGTACTTAACACCCACCCCCCCGTTTCATATGCTCATTCACCAAACCTTTTTCAGTAGTTCTATAGTCCGCAGTGGTCAAAATCCGATCCTGAATCATATGAGTCAGATGTGTGTTTTGACTATATTCTAACAAACTTATATTCGAACATTGTAACATATAACAGAGAATGTTTCAAAGATAAAACATAACACATTGCCCCAAACAAATTAGCGCATGCTACATGATACCTTTTAAAGTCAGACAGTGGCGTAGCCAGGAATTGGTCATGGGAGGGGTTCAAATATTTTTCCATTTGTATAAAATCACACATATATATATATATATATACATATATATATATATATATATATATATATATATATATATATATATATATATATATATATATATACATATATATAGCCTATATATATATATATATATATATATATATATATATATATATATATATATACATATATATATATATATATATATATATATATATATATATATATATATATAT